ACATATGCAGACAGTGGAAGTCCTCCCTCATTATCACTTGTTGACCTCTATCCCACTCTGTTACATATGGGATTTTCTATGGAGTCTCCTTGCATCTCTTAATACTCTTACTGTCAGCTTCTTTTGGACACGTAGCTAAATATATTTTGACTGTACCTTGGACCGGCACATTAGGAACAGTCTTTGTATTTATGAAGCATTTAGCACAATGCATACAAGCACTTGGCTACTGTCATGCTGCTAGAGTGGGTCATGAGTTATGCTGCTAGTGGAAATGGAGTCAAACACTGTTAATGGCAAACCATTTAAACAGCATTCATTTTGAGTGCTTTGTGCCTTAGAAATAGATATATTCATAGTTACTTTGTTAATATTCATGAAAAATAATAAATGAATGTTTCTTAAGGACTTAGATGCTGATTTTTTAAATCATATCTACTGCAAATCTGTGAGACCTAAACAAGGACTGGAAAAATCAATTATCTAATATCTTATTGAAATTTATTATTTTTATACAGTTTCATATACTGCAGTGATAAGTTCATTCAGCAGTGTTTCTTGAAGGTATTAGTAAACCTTCTCCCATCTGTAAGCCACGGAGAAATCAAACTGACCATTACTTTGGCCTCAGGAACTATACTATTGCATATTTAGTGATATTAGTTGGAGTTTCACTTTTGACTTTAATGAGAGCAAGAATTGACCTTTTTTCCAAATGTACTGTATTTTTATATTCTCTCTGAAGTGATCCAGATTTTTAAATAATCAACCCAGCTTATAATTTTGACGGAAACAGAAAATATCCTGAGAGACAATTTCATTTGTTTGGAAGAAAGATCAGATGAGAAGATGTCCAAATGAGAAATATCTATTAGATTCACCTGTACAAAAACAGCTCAGGTTGAAAATTAACAAAAGCAGTACATGAAACAGATTAAAAATCAGTAAAATAAAGAATGGGCTTGCCATTGAATGTTATAATTTTGACGGAAACAGAAAATATCCTGAGAGACAATTTCATTTGTTTGGAAGAAAGATCAGATGAGAAGATGTCCAAATGAGAAATATCTATTAGATTCACCTGTACAAAAACAGCTCAGGTTGAAAATTAACAAAAGCAGTACATGAAACAGATTAAAAATCAGTAAAATAAAGAATGGGCTTGCCATTGAAAAGAAACTGTTTGCTTTATAAGGTAAGCAATACCTTAGTAATAGTAACCAGTTTTGATTGTCAATATTTGTAGCATAAAGTCCACTACAGATGGGTAGAGTAATTAATTTCCTTGTATTTTTCTATCATTCAAGAGAATAAATTGGGTTTGGAAGCTTTGTTTTTAGAAGAATATAAGGAGGAAGGAAAGGGTAGTATGTTTATCAACCAAGTGATCTAAGAAAGTTTTTTAAATGGTTTTCATCATTCAAAATATTAATAATGATATACCACAGAGTTCTCCTTTATATATCATCTTTTGTAAAAGCTTTGTTCCCAGAGTTAGGTAATAGCAGTCAATTTAAATCAGAGGGAGAAAAAAAAATATTCTTTTAGCTAAGATTTGAAATGAGGTTAAAATGGAAATTTGACATCATGTTGTGGATGACTGCAGAGAGTTATGTCTGTACTTTGCCTGCTCCTGCAGATTTTTCAGAAGAGGTGAATGTAGGCTATTGTTCAATGTAACATTGAAGGGTGCAACTACTCAGAAAGCATAGATAGCTAAGCATGAAAATACAGCCTGGGGTGTTTTATGCTGTTTTAAAAACATTGTTAGAAGAATTTAAGAGAACAAAAATAATATATGTCTAGGCTGCCTAGGGTTTGCCAGGCATACAGACTACTAGGTTACTACTTTTTCTCTGTTTCAGTGTTGTCAGCTCCAAGCAAAATGCAAAACTAATGAGTCAGATCCTGAAATAGCAAGAGATTTTATTTTTAAATAATGACCTTTTATGGATTTTTTATTTTCCTTCAAATATTTTAGCCATTTGGATGTTTGCTTCATGTTTCAAGCATTAGTAGTGAAACCTTGATTTATTTTTTAAGGAAAAAAGAATGCAGATAGCTTGAACGATGTTTAACAGCTAGAGCTTTAAAGACAATATATATCAAGGGATTTGTAATTGTATAATGGCATTAAGCAACTCTAGTGATGTCACTAAACACAGTTCTAATAAAGATGAACACCACGTAGGCATAGATAATAGAAGACAGTCTTCTGCAATGACCTGTAATTCCTGCTCTGGTTCCCTGCTATTCCTAACCTCCAGAGATATCAAAAAATTGTGCTACAATTAGTCTTTTGAAAGGAAAACAGCAGTCACTTCTTCATAGACATAAGTGAGGAGATAGCCCTGCTGTGGAGTCCATTTTGCTTTTTATACCTCACAGCAGGGAGGCAGAGTTTACCGAGTGCTCCCTTTGTGCTTGGGTAATGTGCAAGTTTTCTGTCCTGTTCTGTAGTGATTCGAGAAAATTGTACTGGGAACCTATGAGCTGTGAAAGTGATCCAATATCTAGGTTTTAAGAATTGCAACACGTGTGGGAATGGGATTCACCACTTACCTTGAAATTGCTCTCTCTTCAGATTACACAGGAGGCAACAGTAAAACGAGAATTTATTTAAACAATCCAATCTAGCTAGCACTGTTACTAGGTTCAGACAGATATACAGAAATAAAAGGAACCTTACACTTAAAGCTACGTATGGTATAGACCAGCTCTTAGAGTTTTCTATCTGTCCATACTGTCCAGCCAACAAGCTGTTGTGATGTTTACACAGAACTAGGATCCGGCTCATGAACTAAATCATCTCCCTGGCATAATTGTTCACTGAAAAATATCTTAATTTGAGGATATCTGTAATTTTATGTCCTTACACTTTTCCTGGATTTTTAATCAGATTTAACTACTCCCACTCAACAGGATTTTCTGTGAACCATAACCCAGGATATTAATCTTGACACTTTTCCTGCTAGGTAACACATAATCCCCACCAAACTTTTAAAATCCTACTGACTGTTGTACATGGATAGAGTCACCTTTTCTACAGAAGATGCACAGAGTCTATTGACATCTACACTGGTCTCGAACTAACCGTATTAACGTGCCATCCGCATACTGTTGGGTGAACACTGTGATGTGCTTTAATGACAGGTGCTTTAAACCTCACCAAATAACACCTTTATAAACTTAAACCTACATTTTCTTTAGATTTCTGTTTTGAAAATCGTATTTTTTACAAGAATGTGAATAAAAATAATCCATGCATCTCATTCCTGAGTTTTAGACTAGGTAGCCACGTGCGTTACGGTGAGAATGGAATCACATTTGACACAGTGACAAGAGTAAATCTTTAAGACTGCTTTAAAGGATGGATAGTCTTGTGGAGCTCTGAACTCAGCACTGCTTTCCAACAACAACTTAAGCAAAGATTGTTGCTTGATGTAATGTTGGATATTAGAAAGTCTAAGTTTTCTGATGTCAGACTAGATAATCATGTGTCCTTGACTATTCAATATTATGAATTCTGATAAAACCCATGAAAAAAAAGTAAGAAAAAAATCTGGTATAACAAAGAATCATGAGCTAAAGTTTTTTCAGCTACAAGACTGTATATGTGTATAATGGGTAAAGTTCTATGCAAAAGATAGTTTTCTCTCTTAAAGTTGCCAGTTACCTTTATGAACAGTGAAAAACCTGTAGAAAACCTTATTGAGCAGTGAAAAACCTGTAGAAAAACAGGTGGATTCTGAATCCCCTGATGCTGAAATAGAAAAGATCATTGAGGAGTCAGTAAGATAGTATGTATGGCAAGGCCTGGTCTTGACAATAAAGATGTTAAAATCTGTGTGGTGCTTTGAAGGTCTAAGAGGCTGAGAAGACAGAACTATTATGTACTTTGTTGTAATATTTTGTTCTTTTGTGGTTTTTTTTTTTCACTTGAAAAAGTAAGATACAGGAAAAATAGGCTTATAGTATTTTTGTTTGAACCATGAATTACTGTGGGATTCAGTTAGTGGCGGGGGGCGGGGGTTCAACACATATGTTCCTCTTCTTTCAGACATTTGTATTATATAAAACGATCTCAATTTAGTTGTAAATTCCTGGCCCAGACCATGCTTAACCACGTCCAAAACCCATGCATTTACCAGAAATATTTTTTTCCAAGTGATATATTAATTTCAATGATCAACCTGAAGTGCTGTATATAGTCACATGACTGTGTCAGAATTAATAATAGTACTTGTGATAGCTCTTCATATAGAGTTTTGTCAATCATATATTAAATAATGGTAGAAATGTTGTCCTAGAATAAACACATTGCCCTTCTCCAAAGATGTTGGGAGGACTGGGCAGTGATGGATATTGTAGAAACAAAGGAAATGCAATGTAATGTTGAATGCAATCAGTTGATACTGTATTTGATGCAGCTGTGCTGGTTTAGAAGTTGAGAAGGTCTTCACAACGTCCTGAGATCTACCATCACTGTAGCGAATTTCTTCGTAATGCATTGAATTGGAGAATTCAATAACATAGTTAAATTAGGACTTTCTTCTATCTAAAGTCATTAAGCACCATTTTTAATAAAATATATGTCTTCTCTGGGTTCATACCTCAGACTTATAGGCATACATCAATTTATTTTTTATTCCTGTTTTTTGGTTATATCTTCACATACCTATGTGGCACACTATCTAGACCAAATTCTATACGAAGATTCCAGCAAGGTGCCTTTTTATCTCCTGCAGCTGTTATTTAATTTTTTTTTGTAAACTAAATACATTTTATAAGGTCTGTCTAATACATAACAGTAGATTTACTATAAGAAAGGTACTGATTGTAGGTGGAAAATCTAAACCTAGCAAATTAAAGAAAAAATAAACGCATTTAATGAAAAGATTCTAGCTAAACAGAATGTTTAATATTTGGAATTGAATGTTGGGGGGGTATTTTTCTGAGAAGAAATAGATTTTTTGGCAAGCAAAACTTTCATTTTTCAGGTGGAAAATCAATGAACTGGGAAGGAGGTATTCGTGTGCCAGGGCTTCTCCGTTGGCCTGGAGTCATACAAGCTGGTGCCTATATTGATGAGCCAACAAGTAACATGGATATATTTCCTACCATAGTCAAACTTGCCGAGGCACAGTTACCCTCTGACAGGTATGCTCTGTAGTTATCTCTGTCTTAGAGAAAGTCTCATGAGTGTTTTATACATTCTGGTGATGTCTATTAAGATAGAGGTGAGAATGAAAAGAAAAAAATACATTTTAAAAGCACTTTTTTGTCATTACTTACAGTAGTATGTTGCCTCTTTTCATATTAACATACTGATATATTTTACAGAAACATTGTATGTAAATACAGCTTAACTTGCAGAACAAGCACCAAGCAACATGATGGTAAAAGAATACCACCAAGAGCAACGTACTGTCAAATCATGGCCTAGAATTATTTACTAAAAGCAAAATTAAATGTATCAAAAAGGGCTCTGTTCTGCTTGAGTGAACGTGGTAGAAAAAGAAACTGCAAGTGCAAATTATTTTAAACTTTACGAGCTCAACCTTGGCCTGCTTAGTATAACAAAACACATCAAAATGCCAGCTAGGCTTTTCTCACAGGATTTTTCTGTTCTCTACCAAGTTAGTGGGAATAATCCCTTACACAGTTTTGCAGCCTGATAAAAAAAAAACTACTGGACTTCTAAAATTCATAAGATGCTTTATTGACACTCCTACATCCCTGTGCTTTGTCTTGTTCAGGAGATACCCAAGTCTCAGCAGCAAGGTGCCTCCACCTAAACTCTGTTGCCATCCAAATCCAGTAAGTGGAGAAACCTGCTGATATGTATATGCTTTGACCACATCTATCATACACAAACAGCTTTTGAGCACAAAGCATCCAGAATCCATATGAGGAAAAACAGTGGTGAGCAGAGACACTCTGCTAATGATGACTCATTGAGTGCTTGAAGGAAATGGCAGGTCAGGACATGTGTAAGACATGAAAAATTAGTCAGACTGGTCCTGAGAGATCCCGTACAAGCAGTACCTGCCGAACCTAAGCAGTTCAGATTGTTCTTAATGTGGGCTGATAGTATGCACTTTGTTTTCATATTGCTTGAGTGAAGACTAAGCACTGATGTTTTATTTTGATCTCTTTGATAGAAATCCCAATATACTCATGTAACCTCCACTTGCAAGTTGTTCCACTCTGATTCTTCTGTGTAGATTAGGTGCCATAATTGCTGCTTCATGGTAGGTCAGAATGGGATGCCATGGACTAGCTTGAAGCATCTCAGGTACAGCAGCTGAATTCCTATCACTCCACTGAATTCTTCCTGAGAAATAAGAGAAATGACTACAATTAGGATTCAGTCACGAGGAGGGAGCAGGTTAAAAAGGGAAGGAGGAGGTGCTCCTAGTTACAGAAGAAAAATGTCATCAGAAAGAAGAGGCTGATATACCCCTCCTGAAACCAGCAGACGTGGGAATGCCAGAGTAGTGGACATACTACTGGAGACACCCTTTTCTCCATCAACAGGCTGTAGAACAGAAAGTGTACAATAGACATGCACCTGTCCTGCTCTCAGCTTGATAGTGGGCAAACCTGCAGGGGCGAGACAAGAGTGCCGTACTCAAGCAAGAAAACATAACAATTTGAGAGTGGGAAAGACCCTAATTCAACAGACCCCCCCAGACAGGGATGCACTCAGAAAGCAGAGTTGTCGGACAACATTACTTTAGGAATTCCGGTATGTTTTCCTGCCCATCCTTTGAGAAGAATCCTACTCAGAATGGTACTGTTGCATCCAATTGCTGCCAAGAATTTCTTAGTCATATGTAGCTCGTGGCTTAAAAAAGTGAAGATAGTACCTGTCTTGTAATAGTTACACTAATGTGAAAAGGGGTTTACGTGGTAATGAAAATTAACATAGACATTAAAGGGTTTAAAAATTTCAAAAGAGTTTTTGTGAGACGTTGCTCAAAATGCTTAAAAAATAATTACTTGCTAGTCTATATATCAGCAAAAAGTAATTTCCTATAAAACTTCTTGTAAAATTTGTAATTCACACCAGGTCAAAAATGCAGATTTTGATTTCTCCCCCACCAGCTGATTCCAGCAATTCAAAGGCTTAATTTATGGAAACATTTAGATGCCTTGCTTATTTTATAACTCCATTTTGATGTAAATTGACTGACTCCTTCAAAGCATGATCAAAATTGTCCAGCAGCATTTAGAGATTTTATATATGCGTGTATGTGTGTGTTGTTGATAAACACACATTTAAACATAGTTCATTTTCAATTTTGAAATGACTAGTTGTGTGTTAAATTCTGGCATGCATAATTTGCTGGACAGAGTTCTGTCCTGGTTTTAGCTGGGATAGAGTTAATTTTCTTTCTAGTAGCTGGTACAGTGCTGTGTTTTGGATTTGGGATGAGAATAATGTTGATAACACACCGATGTTTTAGTTGTTGCTGAGCA